CCTTAGCCGCTTGAGCCACAGGCGCCGAGCCAACACTAAGAGCTTTCAATGTGTCAGTATCGTACAAATCTTCCTCCACTTAGCCCTCTGAACCACCTAGAATATTCCCTCAATATCATTTTCTTTTTCTTTTTTTTTTTTGAGACAGAGTCTCACTGTGTTGCCCTCTATAGAGTGCTGTTCATCATAGCTCACAGCAACCTCAAACTCTTGGACTCAAGCGATTCTCTTATCTCAGCCTTTCTAGTAGCTGGGACTACAGGTGCCTGCCACAATGCCTGGCTATTTTGTTGTTGTTGTTGTTGTTGCTGTTTAGCCGTCTCAGGCTGGGTTCAAATCCACCAGCCCTGGTGTTACATGGCCAGTGCCCCAATCATTGAGCTATGGATGCTGAGCCTCAATATCATTTTCAAGATGAAGAAACTGATGTTCAGAAATGTTAGGCCACACACTAAATGTCTCACATTAAATGATGGCACTGGGACTTGAACCCAGATGGGCTGACTTCAGACCCTGAGGTCCAGGCCTCTAGGACAGGCTACCTCTTAAGGGCGCCCAGTGCTTTCTGCTTTCTAAGAACCTGCACAGTCATGACCTCATTTCATCCTCCTGGCAACACAAAAGCCAGGCAGAAGTGAAATGGTCATGCCTAATTTATAAGAAGAACAAATAAAGGCCCGGAAACAGAAGCCAGTATTGCTTGCCCAGGGTCACACACATGGTCAACTTTAACTCAAACCACCCAACCACGGGCCCCAGAAATTTCTGGTGGGTTCTCTGACACAAGGTCCAGTTCCAAAAGTTAAAATATGTAGGAGCTTGGCTTTTAGACCCCATTTGCTATAGTCCTCATCTGGCCCTTCAGCTTGGAAATCTGTCCCTGGAAGGCTGCCCACAAAGACTCATGTGGTTATTTACACAAGGGCTCTGCACCTCATGGCAATTCTGCTGGACACAAGTCTGTCACAGGCACATGGAACCCTAGCATCAGCCGTACCTGCCCTGACACCATGTCAGAGCCTTGATCAAAGTCATTCTGCTGCCGGGTGGGGGGGTTGGGTGGGGGGAAGCACCTGCAGGGTAGCATCTGCTTCTACCTTGTTAGAGGCTATAGAGAAGGGTTTTGTCATGACAGAGGACAGTAAAAAGTTTTGGGGAACAAACCACTGCTCCAGGTACCAAAGCAGTAGGTATACATTGATGAATAAAGTAACATACTTGTTTGGCTACAAGCAGCTTCCCAGAGTTACAGGAATCTGCTAGAAGACTTGAGTTCAAACACCAGCAAGACTTGCCTAGCACAAGTCCCACCAATTCCACCTCCTAAGTCTCTCAGATTATGCCACCCCAGCCCCCACAGCTCCCACCACCTCTTGCAGCTGCCTCCCAGGTGGCCTCTCCATCTCCATTCTGATGTCCCCGCCAGTGCCGAATCTTTTACAAAAGCAGACCTGAACTGCCACTGCTCTGCTCAGAATGCTGCAAGGGCTCATGGCTTTACCACAACCAATGCTCTTTCTTCTTTGTCCTTCAAGGCTTGCTCAAATGTCACCTCCTCCGGGGAGTCTTCTCTGATACCCAGCACTGGTCAGCCCTGAACCCACCCCACCTCCCTGCACACTTTCTCACCACATTTGTAAATGATGTTCTCAGAACCATCTCTGCCAGAGAATAGAAGTGTTGCTTGTTTATAGTAGTGCAAGGCCTTCCCCCAGCAGCCATTACACCAGCTGGAAGCCAGTGAACCTTTGAGGTCAGACTTGTAAAAAGAGCCAAGAGGTAGACCAGGTAGGACCAATGCTTTGGGTAACTGTCAGGGCAGATGGTTACGGGCATGGCACCTGTGCTCAATGGCCCACAGGAGGCAAGAAGAGAGAGGCTGTAGGAGGAGGCCCTGGGGGCCCCAGGTTGGCTCACATTTGTAACCCCACTCCGGTTCCGCGCCACTGTCTGGGATTTCAGCGTTGTCTGTTCCACTCGCTTACGAAGGGTCTCAAATTCATTCTGAGGGTCCAGGATGAGGAGGCAAGGGTACTCGGTGGCCCTCTGAAAGAAGGATATATCGGGGCACAACCTCCTGTCAAGAGGGAATAGGAAGGAACCCTGTTACTTGGGACACTTATGGCTATTTTTTGTTTGTTTTTGGTTTTTTTTTTTGAGACAGAGTCTCACTGTCACCTTGGTAGAGTGCCATACCATCACAGCTCACAGCAGCCTCCATCTCTTGGGCTTAAGCAATTCTCTTGCCTCAGCCTCCCAGCTAGCCTCCCAATGCATACCTACTGCTTTGGTACTTGGAGCAGGGATTACAGGCCACGATGCCCGGCTATTTTTGTTGCAGTTGTCATTGTTGTTTAGCTGGCCAAGGCTGGGTTCGAACCTGCCAGCCTTGGTGTATATGGCTGGCACCATAACCACTGTGCTATGGGCCCCGAGCCATAGACACTTTTGGCTATTCCATCAGCGCCCTGGTGGCAGAAGCCTTCTGAGCCCCAGGGATCCTGCTACCTAATCCTCGCAGAGTGCTAGGATTACAGGCATTAGCCACTGCACCCAGCCCAAGTTTTTAAAATAGACGTATTGCACGATATGCACATTTTAGACGTAGCACATGGCAAACTGCTCTCTACAAATACTGAAGGTCATGCTACAGTCACTACCAGTGTGAGGCGGAACCTACTCCCCTGGGTCAATATGTGGTTTAAACGAGGCCATCAGGACATCTCATGACAGAGCATCCCTTCTCCTGCAGCCTGGCTGAGCCACCCAGTGCTGGGGTCCCCTGGGGCTATCTTCTGATGTGCCTCAGCAAAGAAGCAGCACCCATGTGGTGAGGGTGAGGACCTTCCTCCCTGCGTACCCTGC